CCCCGCTCTCGTCCGCGGTCTCTCTTCGCTGTTGGACGCCGTAGTGTGTGGACGGATTCGAGCGGGTGCGTAACGCAGGAGCTTCGAGCGAGAGCGCGCGAGGAAGCGCGGAACAGAGCCATGGCTAGCACGGAGACTCCGAACGTGAAGACCGAGGTGGTGAACGCGCCAGTGGAGAACAGTGGCGAGAATATGCGCGAGCGGAATCCGCCCGGCGGTGGCGGCGGCGGCGGCGGTGGTGGCGGCGGCGGCGGTGGAGGCGGCGGCAATCGGCGGCATCGGCGGCATCGGCGGCCGCGGGCCTCGCGGCCGAAAAGGTGGCACCCGATTCTCGGGTGGCCGCGGCGGCATCGGCGGAGGCGGCGGCGGCGGCGGCGGCAGGAACAACGAAGCGGTAATTTTTCCCTTTTCTCCACGGAGTAACTCGGCCGAGCGAGTGAGCCGGTTGACCGCCCCGCGTCGGGCGACGGCGCGTCGTACCGGCGCCATTACGTCGTCGCGGGGCGAAGCGCGACAATTTATTTCCGAGCGCGCGCCCGCGTTCCGCGAGCCGCGTTCGATCGCGAGACCGCGCTATTTCCGGCGCGTCGCCGCGACCGCGTGGCGGCCGATCGGGAGCCTCGTCGCGGCGCATTTTTGGCGCGCGGGGGGGAGGAACCGCGAGCGCCAACATTGCTCCTCTCACGCTTCCCGATGTTCGGATTAAAATAGCCTCCGGAAGAATCGCCGCGTTTTTGGCGGGACGGGCGGGGGCGAGCGTCGAAATTGAAGGCGCGGCGCACGTACGCCCGCGATATATCGTCGCGTCAGCGTCGTGGCCGAAATGTCGGAGCGGATATGAATCATGCCTCTTTAATTTCCTTCTACGCCGGTGGAGCTGATGCAAAATGGCGTCCTCGTATAGAAAATGGCGGTGGGCGTTCTTGAATTCCCGCGTTGCACGTGCATCGTGCGGCCGCTAAAGCCTCTGTTTCTACCAATGCGGATTAACTTTAATCTCGGCTTAAATTACTTGTCTTTTTCCAATTCGCTAGAGCTCAGTCGACTTCCTATCCGTTTCCATCTTATTATTTAAGAAGAGACAGAATTAATTAATTTTCAGTTAGCAGTTAACCAGAGTTCAGTCAACTTCCTATCTCTTTCTATTTTGTTATCTAGAAAGAGACAGGGAATCAATTAACCTTCGGTTAGTAGTTAAACGACGTTTGTGAAACTGGCCCTAAGGCCTGGTTTCACCAAACGTCGCTTAAATTTAATCTTGGTTTAATTCACGTTTGTCTCTTTCTAAGGTAACAGTTGGAAAGAGACAAAGAACGAATTAAACTAGGCTTAAAGTTAAACATTTGTGAAACCGGGCCTTAGGTCCGGTTTCACCAAACGTCGCTTAAATTTAATCTTGGTTTAATTCACGTTTATCTCTTTCTAAAGTAACAGTTGGAAAGAGACAAAGAACGAATTAAAGTAAAGTTGAGCAACGTTGGTGAAACCGGGCCTGAGAGATGAAATAAGTTTCTGTTATATTGCAAATCGAGAGATGATGTAGTTATTCAATTATGTTTTGCAGCGACAATACGCGCTCTGGTCGTCATGTCAGCATAATTATTTTGTCAAGTAATTACATGCGTGGAGCTGGTATTACATTTGTCACACGGCCAACTTTTTAAGCATGTTAATTTCCTGCCGAATAGAAAATTTCCAGGGACTGGAGAACATTTTTATCCCATGGCCAATCAACACTTAAAAACTGTCGTACGACGAAGTTTTTAATAATAAACTTAAAGTAAGATCCCTAACTAAAACTAAGGAACATATAAGAAAACGCCCATGTCGGTCACAAAGCAAGCTGTAGGTGGCCCAACTTGTAATTTTTATATTTTTAAAATGTGAATTCATATATCGTTTCTTTCCACATTTGTTCTGCGCGCCGGTTTCTTTTCGGACATAACGCAGTTTTCGTACAAGTGGAAGTATCGTCAGCAAATTCACATATTTCGATAAACGATAAAGTTTTTAAGTGTGTTGGTTGGCTGCAGAATAGTAAAGCTCTCGTGTGTCCAGACATGTTCTATTCAGCAATCAATCAACACGCTTGAAAAATTTGTCGTACAACAAATGTAACATTAACAGTTGGGTCTAGTTGAAGAGATAAAAGTTAAATTAAAAGGTTAAATAATTTTAACTTAACTTAGTCACATTATAAACCGTTAACTTCTATCTTGATTTAGTTATATTTAATCGGCAACTTTTAACTTACCTTTCTTAAAATTTGCCAGTTTGTGTTACAAAATTCACCCTCAGCACTAAAAATCTACGGTATACGTTACATGCACTATAGATATGGCAGTGAATTTTGGAACACAGCCATTATACGGGACTTTGATTCTTGAACTCACGTGAATTGGTTTGCATATGAAACTGACCATATTCCGTGTGTGATTGGTCGTCGAAACGCTGGTCGTGAAATCAACGCAATTTACGTGATCGCAGGTCTCTAGGATTTTGTGTGATTTTAATCCCATTAATTTTATTATGGGTTAACTTGTATCTTAATTAAGTTACATTTTCCAAGTTGTTAACTTTAACTTAGTTAAAGAAAACTCCCTGAATATTAACAAATTAACGCAAATGTAATATTAGCCTAAGGCTGGCACTACATTCGTCGTACAACAAATTTTTCAAGCGTGTCGATTGGCCGCAGGACAGGAAAGTTCTCGAGGATCTAGAAATTTTCTGGCTCGTCAGTCAACACGCTTGAAAAATTTGTCCTACGACAAATGTAACGGTACCCTAAAAGGTAAAAAATAGGTGAAAATTTTAGGTCATTTTAGGAAATAAAATGTACAAGATTGCAAGAAGGTTTTGACTGATCTCTTTCGCAAGGTCACAGCGTAAAATCGAGATACGATCTTGCGCGAGAGATCAGTCGATTTGTGTGTATTTAACGAATTATACACGTTACATAATGCCAGATTATTCACAAACGATTACAATTTTTACAGATGAAAATGAACGACTCCATGGATGGAGGAATGGATAATCCTATGCCCGAAGGGATGGGCGGTGGCATGGGTGGCGGTATGGGCGGCGGTATGGGAGGCGGCATGGGAGGCGGCATGGGAGGTGGTATGGGAGGCGGCATGGGTATGGGTCGCGGCGGTGTGATGCGAGGAGGCGGAAGAGGTCGCGGTGGCGGCGATAGAAATATGGCTAGCAGGTCGCAAGACGTGAGTTTACATGTTGTATATGAAGAGTTGTTAGCCAGAAGCCGGAACTGTATGTCGGTCCTTTTGGAATGAGAAGGGATCGACAGTTCCAACTTCCGACCAACAATTTTAGAGCTTAAGGTCCGGTTTTTTTTATTTTCTGGTTACCTGTTAATCAGAGGTTAGTCGATTCTTCATTTTTTTGTATATTATTGTCTGAGAAGAGACAGGCAGTCGACGGTGTGATGCGAGGAGGCGGAAGAGGTGGACGTGGCGGCGGCGATAGAAATATGGCTAGCAGGTCGCAAGACGTAAGTTTACATTGTGTGTATGAAGAGTTGTTAGTCAGAAGCTTGAACTGTATGTCGGTCCTTTTGGAAAGAAAAGGGATCGACAGTTCCAATTTTCTGGTTAACTGTTGACCTCTGGTTAACATTTAACCAGAAAATTAAAGACCGGGCCTAAGAGATAAAATTTTAACTCTCTACAGAGAGTATTGTTCATTTTGCCGCTACTTCTACCTTGCCGAAGGTGAAGAGAAATCTATAATGCATGATCAGTTCAAAATTTCAATCCTGACGAGTGTTAGATTGAATCTACAATTTTCTGCGTGTATACCATTCATCCGTAGCGACTGAACCAGATTTTTGTATTCAGGATCGATTGATGGAACGCGTCATGGCTATCAGCGGACCCACTCACGAGCTCCCGCCGCAGGATACGACGGAGAAGAAGTTCAGCGGCCGGAATCGTTTGTACGTTGGAAATTTGACGAACGACGTGAGCGAGGAAGAGATACAGACCATGTTCCAGAAGTTTGGAGAGATATCAGAGTTGTTTGTGAACAAGGAAAAAAGTTTTGCTTTTCTCAGAATGGTAATTATACGAGCCATATGTATAGTCACTTGGGCAACAGCATCGATACACGTCAACTTTGTGACAATATAAAATGATTATAATAATTACCGTTTGATGTGAAATGATAAGAATTTCTGGCTGTATAATTTTGAAATGATTATATTACATACAATTACTGCGACATTCCGTGCTTTTGCGGCATCAAGTCAGAGAATGATTGTTCTTCTGCGTTCCAGGATTACAAAGCGAATGCTGATACGGCTAAGCGTGAACTGGATGGTTCAATGCGCAAAGGTCGTGCGCTGAAGGTACGCTTCGCCCCCCATTCGTCGACAATCAAAATAAAGAATCTTACACCTTGGACATCCAACGAACTCCTTGAGAGAGCCTTCGGTGTATTTGGCGAAATAGAGCGTGCGATAGTAAAAGTTGACGACAGAGGTAAAAGTACTGGTGAAGGAATTGTCGAGTTTTGCCGGAAACCGTCTGCTCAATTAGCCCTGAGGAAATGCACGGAGGGCTGCTATTTTGTTACTGCGTAAGTCGGATTTTCGATAAGCTTTTTGACACGATCCCCGACGCCACGCTTGTTAGATGTACTCTAATCTGCAAGTGCCTAATGTAACAATTTTAGGGGTATAGAAAAGTAAAAGTTTCACATAGGAAACATGGTTGATTAGTTCCATTGATCGCTGTGTGCTGACTCGTGAAACACAAATTTATCATGAAAAGAAAGATATTGAGTATATAGAGTGGCGGCGCATGTAAAATGTAAAAAAAATTCCTGTTTTTAGTTCTCTTCGACCAGTAGTCGTTGAGCCGTTTGAACAGCAAGATGACGTGGACGGCTACCCCGATAAGAATTTACCACGCAAGAATCCGGATTTTTTCAAAGCACGTGAGATCGGACCGCGCTTCGCGCAAGTAGGTAGCTTCGAGCACGAGTACGGTACGAGATGGAAGCAGTTGCACGAATTGTACAAGCAGAAGGAAGAAGCACTTAAACGAGAGATGGCGATGGAAGAAGAAAAGCTGGAAGCCCAAATGGAGTTCGCGCGATATGAACACGAGACGGAACTTCTGAGAGAACGTATGTATTCTAATATTAATGTCTAAAGTGCTGCGTCTCTTGTTCCTTTATAATCATATAAATTGTCATATATCATATTACAGAACTGCGAATGCGCGAGGCGGATCGCGAGAGGCAAAAGAGAGAATGGGAGATGAAGGAGCGACAGGCCGAAGAGCAGAGAACGCGTGAGGAGGAGTTGAGACGGCGCCAACAAGAAGAAATGGCGATACGTATCAGGAGACAAGAAGAGGAATTGCATAGACGTCAACAGGAAAACAATTTGTTTATGCAGGTTTGTTGAGTAATGAAATCATTCAATTCACTATATTGTATTTTTATTGAAACTACAGATTCAATAAAAATTCACTTCAATCATTGTATACTGATGGTTGCATCTCTTTATGTTCTAGGAGCAGGCAATTCGCAGTGGTGGTGGCAAAAGTTATGATTCAGTCAGTAGCAATGATCGTGATGGATACGGCCAACCTGATGGTTAGTAATGATTTTTTACTTTAGGAAAGAAAAAATGATTTACAATAAAGATAAAACTATAATGTAGCTGCAATCTATGTATTGTACATATAGCTAGATGTACAATACGTGTCGTGGTTTTGGTTTTGAGCGAGTGGTTAGGATGACAGATGTGTCGTATACCGCCTTTTGATTGGGGTCATAAGGCCTATCTCTGTTGGGCGGGTCTTCCCTGAAAAATGCCTTCGCAGGCGGTTCCAGGGGAGATTCGCCTATAGTGCGGAGGATGGTCCAAAGAGAAGGGATTTTTAACCGGTATTTCCCGCTTCACGGGAGAGTCCTAGGTATAACCATCCAGGGATGCGATTACGTGCACCGATCGAATTCGAATTCGAGAAGGAATAGGCCATCCGATACCATTCTTCGTACATTAATCTATCATGGTTTGGGGGAAACTATCCTATAATAAATAAGTATGAACCATGAAAACTGTAGAGCAGAAACGTATAAGGAGTCGACTGATCGAATTCGATCGTGCACGTAATCGCAATCCAGGACTGCCTGATAGTACGCATAAAGGCGTTTTCCCTGCTCTCGGATAAAAAAAATTATGTACAACACTTGTAATCTTGTCGGCAGAACTAAACAACAATTTAGGGCTTTTTTTTCAGCATTGTCGTAATTTTGTTTCGTACTTTAATACATTTTTTGTTAATTTTTACAGGTGGAAGCGGCATGCCAGTGGTAATGTATCCCTTTTATTTACTATTTTCTTCTATAACTTATTGTATTACAGCATTAAGTTTTGTTTCAGTAATATTTGACTTTCTTTTTTAAACCGTTTTTTTTTATTGGGCGGTACAATTTTTGAAATGTATCCTCATGCGTTCTACGCAAATCTCATTTATTATAATGAGCGGAATACTGTGTCGTGCATGACAAGATGCAATTATTTATCTTGGTGTGTAACACCGTAAAGTTAAATTAGGTGGGTTAATGAACCCTTGATATTATCCCCAGTTGAGCATGCTCTTCAATATAAGCAGAGTTCTAATGTCTGCAAAATCAACAAATACTATTTATATTCTTGTTTCCACTTCTATACGTTGATGAAAGTATATATATATATATATATATATAAATCTATTATATTAAAAGATACTTGTAACATGTGGAGGAATCAATAATGTGCATAGTATTGAGACAACGGGAAATGACACTTCAATACTGCATGGAGTGTCGTCGATATTAACACTGATTTTAGTTACAAATTCCAGATGATCTCCGTTAACCGGCCTTGCCGTTTGCAAAGATCTGTAAACGATTATATAGCTGTTTCTGCTATTTAACTCATAAAACATATTTCTACTGACGAGATACGCTTTTGTTTTGCATCTAATCTTGATGCACGAACATTCGAATTTATCTACTCTCTGTTCTCTTTAAGATGCGAAATCTTCCACCGGAAATACCGATGACAATGACTTTACACTGAAAGTTTTGCTCAAAACCTCCCGACTTATGTGTTCTATATGTACCCATATGTATGAGCCAGCATGCGATGAACAGCGCAATATCTAAATTTTATCGTAACGCAAATTAATGAACTGAGACTTTCATAACAAGCACTTCACTACTCTCTGCTGCAAGCATTGCAGCTAGAAATAGCAACCATAATAATCATCATTAATCGACTTCAACAAACGAGTAAATTTTACTTTATAAGTTTTGTCATATACCAGTTTAATTGTTAATATACAGGGTGTTTCCTCTAAGTTGAGCACGTAGAATATCTCTGTTTCCTTTGATGATACGAAAAATGTCAAAGGACGAAAATTGTTCGATTCAAAGGAACTAATATTCTGATAAGCGAAAAATATTTTTTAGTGTTACCTTTTACACGATTTCAAGGTCATCGAAATTTTCTTAAACGAGATGACATATTTTTATTAACGCAGTGATGTAGAAACGTTGTGTAACGATGGTCATTTTGAACACCTTCTGTAAAAAAGACTATGTAATATCTTTGTACTATCTTATTTAAGAAAATGTCGATGACCTTGAAATCTTGTAAAAGGTAACATTAAAAAAACACTTGCTTATCAAAATATTAGTTTCTTTAAATCGAACAATTTTCGTCCTTTGACATTTTTCGTGTCATCAAAGAAAACAGAGATATTCTACGTGCTCAACTTAGAGAAAACACCCTATATATACATAGATATATATATAATAATTATTAATATATATACGTAGGACATTAGACAGATATTCTGTCATGATGTGACAATCTTGAGTTTTCGAAATTGACTTGTATGATCGCGCCACTTGGCCTCTACGATTATGATACGTATATTTTTAGTAATATATATTTTACTAAATATATTACTAAATAGAATATATTACAATCTAAACTCTTTATGCCTTCGAGAAATTATTTAAATCTATAAATATAACTGCCATATTGGTCTCTCCACATGATTGCAGACAGGAGACTCTGACCTGTTATTCTGTTGTAGCCTTAAGAGCAATTTTATTTACTATGGAACATGATTGACGCATTTTCGCCACTCGATATCACGACCCTTACATTTTTTTATTAAAAAAAAAGGGAATAGAATGTGGCAAGAGATTCCGTGAAGTACGGTTCCATGGTAATTCTACTGACCAAGAAATGCCCAACTAGACTTTCCTTCTAAATAAGTATATTAAGCTATTACTTATAAGGATATTTCCAAAGGAAATTTAATCGTGCATGCACATGTTTCTGCAAAGTCTCCAGCTAATTTGAATCTTGTTTAGTCACTCTGAACTTCATATAATCTTGAACACTTGAAAGCACGTTGTTTATAGAATGCTAGTGCTCTTGTATATCTTGATATATGCTGATTGTAGGAAGATTTTATGCATAGTACTGACTCGCAACACGATACATTTCTTTGAAGCATTACGAGCGCAGCGGGGACAGAGCTTGCTTCGAGACCTTGATCACGTCTCTTTGCTGCTCGCGTTTGCGCTCGGAGCCTCAAAATTATGTGGAAGCTCAATGTCAGTACTATTAAACGATGGAAATTATCTTCAGCGCTTTCTCTCAGAATGCGTGAAACTGATTTGGATAAAATGAATTCACCGTTTTTCTTGTTTTTCGGATATATTTACATCGTAAGCACTCATTAGGTTCTTTATTACTCTGATCACTCACGAGGTAGACTCGTTTATAATTTCTACCGAATATACAATTATACGACTAATAATTATGTCACTCTCTGTTGGGGCTGGGAAACTTTTGAAAAATTCTATTTAGGTCTACACAATTATAAAGGATAGGCGTACAAACCTACCAGTTTGTACTCTGTTACATCTTATGCAAACTGAGATATCGACAATTTCTGCTTACTCATTGTGCAATATGCAAAATGAAATGAATCTTTCATTCTTACTCTTATACCATAGGATCTCCAATATATATTGGCTGCATTGTTATCGAAGTAGCAATAATTCTCACATCAATTGGTCTTAATCGTGCTTCAACTCCAATTCGAAATGCGACTCCACGATACGGAATATAAAACGATTGTATTTAATGTTACGCTTGAAATGCAATTTTCGAGCTTTCGTATGTCGGGTTGAAGTTCACGATTAAGAAGAGTAATTGTACGTGTGCGATAAAATTACTAAGTTTCGCGTGAACAGCTGATGTTCGTTCACTCGCTTATAACAAAACAAGAGTGTTATCTGTCTAGGTTGGGCATTCTCTTGGTCTAGATTAACATGTCACGGAGCATATCCGCCAAAAGAGGTGTATTATGAGTAAGAGGAGTAATTATTGCAGTCTACTGCCGTCGATCACGCAAACAGCAATCTAACATTGTGTTTTCCCCTTTCTTTTCTATGTGATTTGACGAAAATTGACGATGACCTGTGCTGCTGTCAAACATGGATGGTCGCCCTGAATCGTACGGAATGTACTTGCGCGTACATTCACGCAATTCACGCGTTTCGTCCTCTGATGCGAACGACATTCTCATCAATGATTAACAACAAACTCTCGGCTCCCCTATACGATTCGCGTTCTCCGCGCGTCTCGGTAGGATCCGAAGTCATTTATGGACGCGTACAATATGGACCGCGGTAATCGAGGGGGTTATAATGATGATCGCGGGCAAATAATGGATTTAATGGACATGAGGGTTGACATGGGTAACATGGGTGGTGGTCGCGGAGGTAGCGGTGGTAGTGGACGTTGGCAGGGAAATGACAGAAATCGCCCGGACGATTATCCCTCCAAACGCCGACGATATTAAACATTTGCGCAGTACGAAATCTTACTTCGCTGATTACTTAGCGCTCTGCAAGCATCGTGCTATGTCCTTCGTTCATCCCTCACTTTCATATTGTTCACCTTGATAATCAACGAGGCAATGGGGGAGGAGGAGTAGTTGAGAAAGTCTAATATTCGCGAGTAAGATGGTGGACAGCAGCAGCATTAATATATACCGATTTCGAAAATTGCGCCTGAGAATGAACGATGATGCGAAGAGTTTGGACTTGAAACATTAATTATTAATGTTTTGATACTTTTGACGGATTCTGTGTCCCAGATGACATTTCTTCTCGATCATGTACTCCGATTGAATATCGATAACGATATTGATGTTATTGAAACGTTTTAGTCATCGGTTTGTTGTACGCAGTTGGGAAAAAAGGAGTCTGCTTTAAATTGCCATTTTTACGTTGAGATTAACGCAAAATATCATCAATTGAGAAGCAATATTCAACACCCCGATATACATATTATTGGACACAATTAATTCCGCAATTTTATCTTCGACTCCGAATCCTGGATTGAACATTACAAATTAGAGTCTTACTTCATAATTAGTATTTGTATTTTGTATTTGTGATATACAAGTAAAAATGAGATACGGTATTGTATGTCCATATAGATATTAGACGTGGATCAGTAATTTGAATTTTCATACTCCGCTTATATCACAAATATAAGATGCATACATTTATTATCAAGTAAGATTCGAAGTTACTTTAAAGGTCTTGGGAGATTGGAATAATAATTAAGATAATACCATAATTTTTTACCCTACAATATGGTTTCGTTCTGAATTCCTTTATTAACTCGTTCATTCTAAATTTGTACTGTACCATTTAATAATTATTTTGATAAAAAAAAGCATACCATATATTATTTATCATTAAAAAGAACTATTCTTAAATTTTTTTTGTTAACTAGACCGTACTTTACTTATTATTTTACACTTTTTATCTAAATTATAAAAATGTCAATGTGTAAGCAACGACGCAAAAGTCAAGACTAACGTTCTATTTTTCACGATTTGCAATATTTGGTTAATATCTTGTAAATTAGTATTGCGTTGTTATACTGGATATGCCAAGTGTGGCGGTTGCATCGTGATGCAAATTTATCAATTTCTAAATATTCTTCAGTAATTATCTTAGTATATAAGCTATTATACCTATATAATATTACACACACAAGTACATATACATACTTATGCAGTACTATCTGCAAATATAATATTCATTACTTTGTGAAGAATCTTAATCTATAGCAGCGTAATTAAACAAAATAAAGGTATATAATACAAACTCTCTTATATATCTTAGTTTCTAATATCAAATAATATTACTTCGCCTTCTATGAATTGCGCACACAACTGATCTTCTGTGAATTATAGATTATGGCTTTTGCTACCACATGAAATATCACATAAAATATTTGATGATCTTAATTTTGCTTTCAGTTCAACGATTTTCTATATCTTCTACGTAGGAAAGGTTTGATATATTGAGATTCTTAAACAAAGTTTCTCACAAATATACTCGGATGTTATTTGATTTATTCTTCTGAAAGAAATCTGATTAATATTTATTATTGTATATCCATATACAACTTGGAAAAGTTGCGATTTATAATAGTTGTAGACAAAGACAATGCGTTATAAAGATATACACCAATTAAAGCGTTCTGTAGAAAATGTCGATAGAATGTTTCGTACTGGTTGAGATTTCTCTGAATTTCCCAATAGGTAATTAATATATTTAAAATAGCTCTCAAAAACTTTTTTAATGTTAATGAAAATTTGAATTTATGTAATTATCTAACTATTATAATTATTATATCTGAAGTTTCTATTTTTTACACAACGGATGTGAAAGAAAGATATACTCTCTTTGTAATGTAAAAGCTACAATATTATAGTGTTTGTAATTCAAAAGAATTTCTGTACCAATGTTTTTTTTTATTATTTGTAATATTGGCATTTTGGTCTATTACTTTGATTCTATAAGAATCTTTATGGATAATAAGAGAAAAGCAATTTCCATCTTCAAGAATCTTCCACGTTCCAGTGCTTAATAATACTTATTTAGAACAATATAATTAATCAAGAGTCTTTTAATGGAGAGGAGACTACAATCACAAGATAGGCTTACTTACTCGAAACTGCTAGTCAATGAACTACCCGTTAACGAGGTGAGTAGATTTTGTAAAACTATTATGCGTCTTACTTTAATCTTCGGGTGGGACGTTAAACATTAAGCAAAAATTACAAAGTGATCGTTTATTAACCCTCTCACTAAACGTTCATCGGTAAGAGTATTATTCCTCTCGTTATGATTCTCTCTTTCGAAAAATTATACGCTAGAAAGGGAGAAGCGGAGACCGAAGATTACTTTGTAACGTTTGCTGGCAGACATTACTGTTGATTGGAATTTACTATAATATGCAACTAATATTTAAATAGGTGACCTTATATTTCGTGACACTTTCATCTCCGTCCCGCGTAAGGAAAAAGAACATTAAATCTTGGTCTAAATAATTATATGATGAATTAAGCACTTATCAGCCTAGAGCACTTCTTTCCACCTATGACAACCACAATATCTGGATATTTTGATGAAAAGGTTGTCTTGGTCTAGCTATTGAAATCTAGGCTGTGACGATAGATAATTAATCAAGTAACAAGTATAACAAATTCTTACTTTGTGCCACTTCGAGTGGCAAGGAATACTTGCGACAGATCACATTTATATCAATTCTGACAAACGGTTTTATTATATAGCGACGATCGAAAAACAATTTCGTGAAATGGTAAATGGGCATTGACCATTGCAAGTGACTTTATTAGGAAGGAAATGTTTAGCACGCAAGGATATCTCACATCTTGAACAAAAACTTAAATAGGAAATATAAAGATGTTTATAATTCACTAATTCTTAACATACGATGCAGCTTTATGAAATATTGCGTGATAGTAGAATGTACGTAAAAACCTAAGAAAATTTAGGGAGTTAAAAAATTTGTATCTTGATGCACCACAATCTCGTTAAAATGATATCTTTAACATAAACATAGACAAGTTACTCGTGACTTGCTTGTTTCTGTTGCACTAATAAAAAACTTCACAGAAAATACCAAGTTTCTGTATCTTAAATTTTTCTGAGGTTTTTATGTATTGGACAGAATATTAGAATACACTGAAAATTTGTTTCGTCTAGCGGAATCTGCAATTATTTTTGACCACCAATTAGAAACTCTCTATTAAATATATCTATTTCAAGTATAATAAATTTAAAAAAAAAGTTTCTCTAATTGAGATACAACTTATGAACTGGCATAGTGAGAATGTCAGCAAATATTTCGATTTATCGCGTTCTAGTACATTGCACATATTTTATGATCTACCACCTATAATTATTTTATTAGATTTTTAATTAGTATTTCTCAGCTTTCTAGATCAATATGAGACTTCAGGATATATTTATAACATTTTTTAGAAGATTACACAATACTAATATAATATACACACATATAAGTACATATAATACTTATATAAATATATTTTTAAGTTACTGTTATGGTATAAAAGTAAATTAATATACTGGTATTAAATTTTTGACGTAAAATATATAATTATCTGTTAACTGCTGTACTTACCAAACGATGCATCTTTGTAGATTGACGTTAATTGTATGCGGATATCCAATTTCTTAGAACTGGAATCGTCTGAACACAATATCTTTAATAAACACGTATTTATAACATGTCGTATGTTTTCAGATTGCAGTACCAGGTTGATCAAGAAAGCGCTGACAATATATAGGTATATTTTTAAATTTTTGATAAAAAAATCCTCACATTTAATTAACTTTATATGTCAATCAGAGCCAAAAAATATATATATGTATTATAAAATCTTATCAAGACTGCAATGATGATATTCTTTCGGGTCTGACGCCTGATGTCAAAAGTCTAATTCCAACGTGTACATTTCTTTTGACTGATGCAAGTCTTGAATCACATCTTGCTCATGAATTAATTAAATGTAACACTTAAGTACAAAACAGTTTGATTGACATGTTCAAAATTGTTTTACGATCAAACTTTTCTTTCGTATAGGTGCTTTTGGATTTCTCTTAAGCTTGCTTCAATTTTCGCATATATTGATAGACTTTTTAACACGATTGTGTGTTATGATGTAAAATTTTCATTTTAAAGATCCATGATATGCAGATGTGCCGATCATATCTGGAAAATATCGAAGTTGATGAATACTTACTGTACTTTGCAATATAATTTTTTTTGTAATTTATAGTCTGATGTCTTGAGGCAACGCTTAGGCTCGATGTCATTACACGAAGTAATGAACTTCATGTGTCCTGAGGTTGGTAATCTTCAAGTTCTTTCTCTGCTCTTATTGTTCGCGACTATATTCTTCATATTAATTCTTATTAATTTATCTGTGATGATAAATTTTATAAATGATTCTAATGATTTTTATTATCCTAACGTGTACTGAATAACTAAATTAACGCCAGATTTACGTGACATAGGATTACACATATATCGCTAACTCTATTTTTATTTCTGTATTAAAGGGAAATCCGTAATGAAGAACGTAACATAAATTGGCGCATAAAACACATAAATTGTGCTTTAAAGGTGAGAATATTGGATTTTATTAAATTGTGCATACATATGTATCAATAATACGTAAACAAAAGCATAGCAAGACTGCAATGATGATATTCTTTCGGGTCTGAAACCTGATGTCAAACAATCTAATTCCAACGTGTACATTTCTTTTCACTGATGCAAGTCTTGAACTACTCGTTGTCAGTTAATTAATTAATTGTCTATATGTGTTTTTCATAAAAATGTTTTGTGTAGGGATTACAAGGCGCACTCTTTCTCTGAAGAGTACTTTTCCATCAGCAAGTAGCTGGAAGCTACTTTAGCTTTAGCTTTTTGATAGAAAGGTAAATTGCTCGCTGTACTTATTAGTTAATCTTGTATTCAACTTTTTATTCTTGTAGAAAGTCAAACTATTAGACAACGAAAAATCCAGTTGGACCACTTTCGTCTTAATAATAAAATCGACTAACTTTCGAATAAAAATTTTTGTTGGTATATTTTGTTAGCATTTGCGAGAGGAATAAGTAAATATGAGTGGCACAGACGAAACTTTTGTGATAATTCATAAAATTAAACTGATGAATAACTGGCTAGAGTCCTGAATGAAAGATGAGAAACCATTCGTTCACATGCTGATTCGTGACCACGTCTCAATTTTTACCGTGACAGTCATTTGCGAAAATAATCCATTTCTATTTGTTGCAGCATTCTATTCAGAACGGGTCAGCGGGGGCGATCGAAACTTAATTATTCAAATATATTGATGTTTTAGATTTGAATAAACATATTCTTTTATTAAAAATACCATGTTAACGTATTTATTTTATTGTATTATCTCTTCCGACTTGTATCATAAGGTATCATTATTTAGCGGATATGAATGGGAGTCGGCAGGCAAGGACATCAAGATAAACGGGTACTGACATGTTCAGACGTTTCAGAAAAATATAATAATTATATATATCGTGAAAAAAGCTTTGACAAAACATTTTATTGTTAACCGCAGAAAAAGCCATATACACTTTCACACAAAATCGATCATAGTTCGATAATAATATTGATAAATTTATAATTGAAATGTACATAAATATAAAGACGACGATGATGTTGCACGTTCCTCTCGTGTGTGCCAGAACTGTAGAAAAATTATCTCGAATATTTTTCTCGCAACGCTCGTTGAACAACTTATTATTCGGTGATGATATGGGCGTGTATTATGCAGTTCCTTTCCTTCGCTTAGATGACGATGCTTGTAAGTTGCGTTCTGAGGTGCGCGTTTGTAAATTCACAGAGCTTTGACTTCACATATGAGATGCGATATATTTAAACTCGAATACACGGCCGGAGCGGGTGGAAGGAACGATTTTTGGTGTTTTTTTGCGCTTCTATAAATCTATCTAACCCTATATACTTTTAGCCGCGACGGTCAAGTGCCATATAATGTATTTATATATTTATATATATTTTTTTTTTATTGGTACTATCCGAACGCAGCACGCACCTTTGTTTTTATATCGCAAGTACAGATTAACAGTAGCGACTTAAATGTTCACACACTGCGTGCTCTATCGTATAAGTTTCTATTTTTTTTGTAATTTTATATAATATATATATATATATTTATATATCTCTCTTTTCTTCTAGAATTCCTTTGCGATGGTCTTAATTTTTTTTTAATGAGATATTTTATTCCTCTTACTATCGTATTGCTCGACCAATGCCTCGAGAAACCTGCGCTCAACTTGTACCAATAAAATCCGCGATCGTCCCCTCAGTTATTTCTTTCCTCCATCGTTCAACATTATCTCAATTATACTTTTATCTGTTAATACTTATTAAATATTCTTTTAATTATTGTAGATCACAGACAACTTGTTCTTAGTCCATAAAAACAATTCAATTATCTTTTTTTTCCCCCATAGATTACCGATGTGTGTAGTAGAGTTGTGTCTCTTTTTGCAGTGATGTATCGTGTACGTGTGTGTGGGTATTGCTCGGTGTGTATGGTCGCAAAAAACAGCGCGAATCCCGGAAACGCGAACCGATGTCGAGCGATAATTTACATATGGTCTTGTTTCGCACATCTCGCCCGGTTGCCGCATGGAACACTCGTATATTTTCCAAGGATGAAAACTCCAGGGTCGCAAAACGAATTTACACATTTTCAGTGTGCATTCGAAGTTTCGATACAAACGCTATAACTAAGTGCACACGGGCATCTCGAAGTAATGCCGGGTACTCCCGGAGTTTTCATGCGGCAGGTGTTTGGTCGATATCCCAGGCGATGTTAACGCTAAAATCATAACGTAGCGCACGGCTAATTATGTTCACGGCCGACATTGAGACGTTAATAAGACAAAGCCGTTCCTTTTAAGCCCGAGAAGTAGCACGAAGCTCGTTACGACTGATATTATCGAGATTACGATTTATTTTAAACCACTGAGCACCAAGTACGTTTCACCCTAAACCTGGAGTTGCGGAGCAGCTCAAAATTTTGTCTTATATAACGTTAA